GACGATTGCTTGCGCGCAGCATAATTCGTCTGTATTCTTGATTTGTATGACACCATGTTCAGCTTTCAAAAACGCTTCCATATTTCTTCTTCCTACGAATCTTTCTTTTCCTCTGCCACTACCGGAGGGTGGGGTACAGACCAAAGTCAGTTCGGTTTCAAAATTGGTGTTCGTGTTAAACTTTTCTCCAGAATTTAGTTTATTTGCTAAAGTTTGCAAATACGTTTGCATTCATTTACTGCCTTGTTGGATGTAGTAGACTGAAATAGGTACGTGTAGCCTTCGGCCTGCATGTTAAAATGAAGTGTGTGATGTGGCTGCGTATTTGGTTGGTTTTGGATTTGCTGAGCTATTGCACGTTCTAATGCATGAGTGATTGAAACGCCAACATTATCATCTGGTGAAGGTTGGCGTAATTCTTTCAAGCGTGCTGTAAACCGTTGTTTCGCCACCACATTTTTCTTCCAACGTTTTCACGGCCCCACGGTCTGAACTTGAATTCAAAGAGTGGTGATTTGATACGTTTCACAGCCTTCAACAATTCCTCATCACTCATCTCCTTAACCATTCTCAACTCAATGTCTTCTAAAACCTTTAATAACTCTTCATTACTCAACTCTTCCACAAATGTTCTTTTTGATGATGTTCTCTAACACGCGTGTTCAAAATAAGTCGTGTGTTTAGAGTGTAATGTTCTATGTGGAGATCAAAGGTGAATACTCTGGGGAATGGAGGGTTTCTTTTGTATCAGTTGGGCAAGTTTAAGCAAGGTAGGGCATGTATGGATAGGATTGCGAAAATGTTTTCACTTGGAAAAATGGTTGCGAGGGGTTTACATACACACGGATAAATGCACTCACACTCACTCAGATATTTAATCAACAATCATATTATGCACAAAAAAATATTTAGCAAAGAGTCCAAACGTGACTGACGCTTCATACAGCTTTCTTGTTCGTTTCTTTATCAAAATAAAACTTACTTTTGAATAGCATGGACCTTTTCTTTAATCGAGTAAAAGAGACAATATTGTTACCTTTGATACCTTTTTGGAAATACTGATATGTATATATAAATTTCTTTGCAAAATGATTGGAGCGCAAGCACCTCACGGTAAGTTCATGTCGCACTCGAATCTTTTTCTGTTTTCGTAATTGATCGAGCCCGCACTATTTGTGTAATTGCCTATGAGGAAGAAGCGCCCTGCTGCCAGCAGGTGATTCACACCTCCCGTTTGATGGACTGGTACCAGTCGCAGCAGCAAAGGCACCTACGGCCTTCTTGTCCATTCTGCAGAGGAGAATCCCCGTTGACAGTCTTGGTAGAATTGGCTAACAAGCCTAAAAGAGTCCCACCAATAGAAAGGAGGTAGTTCAATTGGGTGGCAGCCCATCGCCACAATGCCTATCTCCACTACACGTGGAATGAAAGAATCCCCGCAGAAAGAGACACTTTCTTCCTTCAATTTATCCATGAAAGAATGCTGGAGAACGTTATGTTGATACAAGTTTCAAGTTTCAAGTTTATTAAGTTTGCAGGAAAATCTTTGTACAATAATCACCTCCTGCAAATAGCGAGCTAATCTAGGCAGGCGGTGTTAAGGACATACAACACGAATTACAAAAACACGAATTATGCGAATTACTCGATTTTGCATACATTATTTGACAAAAGAGGGAAAAGGTGATAAAAAGTAAATTAATATATTATGTTTGAATTATAATTAAGATGCCTTTTTTATTTCAGAAATAAGAGTGCTAGTGTCAGCATAACTATCCAGACTTCCTAGAGTTGCAAATAGTAATGCTTGAATTTTCTTTTTGAATATGTGCTTCGGCAGACTTCGATAGCTTTCGGGAATACTGTTCCAAATTTTAGCCCCAACGATAGAAAAAGAGTTTTTATGATGATTAAGCCTAGAATAGTTAATATAGTAGTTACCAGAAGAAGCTGATCGGGTATTATACTGATATGTGTCTTGTGTAGAAATAAAAATATTGCAGATATTTTTAGGTGCAGAGTTAGTGGTTATATCAAGCATTAAGATTGATGAAAGTTTGAAGTAGAGCATTGTTATTGGCAGGATGTTAGATTGCGCGAAATATGGAATCGCATGCGTTCTGAAAGGCAGAAAGTAGATCAAGCGAACAGCTCTCTTTTGGAGTATAAGAATTTTCTCTAAATAAGATTTGGAGGCTTGGCCCCTGGCAATGAGGCCGTAAGATATATAGGGAGAAATTAAAGAATTATAAATACTTAGAAGTGTTTTTAAGGGGACAAAGTGTCTTAGTCTCGAAATAATTCCAATATTTCTACTGATTTTTAAAGCAATATAATTAATGTGATGTTTCCAAAATAAATGTTGGTCAATTATTACCCCTAGGTATTTAACATGATCCTTACGTTCAAGATCAAAAAACGTTTTAGTGCGGCTATCATAGGCCTTAATGCGGATGTTGAAATTAATGCGTTTTTGATATGGATGAAAAATTATATAGTTTGTTTTCTTGATATTTAACGAGAGTTTATTAGCGATTAACCAGCCGACAACCTTAAATAGTTCACAGTTGGTGATAGTTTCGAGAGATTTTAGGTTTTTATCAGCATATAAAAGGTTAGTGTCATCAGCAAAGAGATGAAAGGTTAGTTTGTCAGAGGCCATGTAAATGTCATTTACATAAATAAGAAACAGTAGGGGACCAAGTACACTCCCCTGAGGAACACCGCAAAGGGTATTTTCCTTTCTAGATACGTGGGGACCAACTTGCGTGGTTTGGATTCTATTTGACAGATAGGAGGAGAACCAATCGTTTACTATACCACGAATGCCGTAGTGGGATAATTTATGAAGGAGGATAGAGTGATTGACAGTATCAAATGCTTTTTGAAGGTCAATAAATACACGACAGGAGAACATTCCCTTGTCCATGTTTGATTGAATTTTGTTAACAATATCAAGGATTGCATGCTCGGTTGAGCGCTGTTCACGGAAACCGTACTGTGACTCATAGAATAGGTTATGTTTGCTAAGAAAGGACTTTAGGCGGTTGTACATAATTTTCTCGAAGAGTCTATTAAAGGCCAAAAGAAGTGATATTGGACGATAGTTCCCCGGTTCTGCTTCATCCCCATCCTTAAATATTGGAATGATCTTGGCATGCTTAAGTTTGGAGGGGAAAATACCCCTCTGAACCGAGTTGTTTATAAGAGTTGCCAGAGGGGCTGATATAATATGACATGAACGTTTAAGTAATCGAGTTGGACACGAGTAAAGTCCATGGGACTTGTTTGTTGGCGTAAGCATTATTTCAAGCTCGATTTCAGAAGAAAGAACAGAGTCAAACACAAAAGAGCAGGAAGGAACATTTAATGGGAGGTAATCACGAAAAGACTTATCGCTACTTGGTAGATCAGAGGCGAGACGGTTTCCAATAGAAGCAAAATGGCGGTTGAGTATATTAGCATTTTCTAGGGGGATCAAGGGATATCCCCTGGTTTAAAGGGCGTTTCATTGCCGCAATCACTTTCGCGTTTTTCTTTTTACGGTTGATCAAATCGTTAATCCCTTCCCAGGTCCGCTTGAGGTTCTTTGTATTGTTTTGGAAATAATTATGGAAGTAGATTTTTTTACTAAGACGAGTTAATGTTGAGATTTTATTTCTATACATCTTAAAGAGTTTAATATTACCCCCGTCAAGAAGTTTATTTTTCATTTTAATGGATTTTCGAATTCCTTTTGTAATCCATGTTTTAGAAAAAGATTTGAGCTTCCGCCGGGATATTGGTTTTAATGGAGCGTGCTTATTGATCAATTTATTTAATTTATTGTAAAAAGAAGAGAAAGCCTTATCGATATTGGTTTCTTTACGGGAGACTATGTCAACCCAATCAATACGTGACAAGTCGTGTATAAAATTTTCTTCAGAAAATTGGGAAAAATCGCGCGCAAGAGGTCTGTCGGGTTTGCCTTTGACTACAAGCGAGCTTGTTAAACAAAACTGCAAGAAGTGGTCACTAATATTAGAGATTATATTGCCACTAATGATATTCTCATTAACTTTGTTTGTAAATATATTGTCGATTAATGAGAAAGAATTTCTATGTACACGAGTTGGTTTGTCGATGTAAGGAGTTAAATTAAGGCTCTGGAGAGTTAGAAGAAAATCTTGTGCATAGTTGCAAGAATCAAAGGAAAGGAGATTAATATTAGCGTCAGTCATGACATATACAGGCTTTCCAGTAGCTATAAGGTTTTGTGCGGTTTCCTCAAAATACTTTAGGAAAAGCTCAGGTGAATTATGCTGACGATATAACGCTCCGCAGATTTTGTTTGCTACATTTGTTTGAAAAATTTCAACCCATAATGCCTGAAAAGTTTCGTTAGAGCTTTTCTCTAAAACTGTGTATCTTAACTCTGAATCAATATACATGCCGACGCCACCCGCTGAAAGAGGTGTCGGGACGTATTCAAAAGTGTAACCTGGAATTTCAGGATTGAAGTCCATAGAATTTGCATTTCTAATTCTGGTTTCGGTTACTCCAATAACACTCAAATGATAATTAAGTTCATCGAGCAAATGGGTTTGGAAGTTTTCGAGATTATCTTTTAAGCTGCTAACATTGTTATGAAAAAAAGATAAATGACTATCAGAACGTTGTTCATTTAACTGATTTTTTAGCTGACTAAACTATACGGGGAATAGTATTTACAGCGGATAGGATAAATAGCAGAGAAATCTGTGTCGTAAAATTTACTGTTTACAGAGTTCAGACTGAAGATATCAATGTCATATTGGCTAGGTAATCGTTCAAGATATTTTTTAGAAGGAAGGTTATCATTTGTTAAGAGATTATTATATTTGCCATGGCACTGGATTATGGAGCTCTGCCCACGGTACGGTAATTCAAGGAAGAAAGCTTTATTTTGCTTAACTTCGGTTGAAATCGGCATTGCTAAATATTAGAGCACTAAAATCTTCTAGTTACAGTCATACAAATACTTACTTACCGTACAACTCCTGCATTCTCGGTGTAAGATGGTCAAGGATTAATATTTTGGACATGTCCTGACTCTCTTCTAAACCAACGTCTCGAGCCGCCACACTCGAGGCATGCCTTCTCGCCGCCATGACATTATTTCTCGCGAGTCTCCTTACGAATTTGCAAATGATTGGTTTGGGGTCGGAGCGAGAAGAGTCACGAAAAGGGACTCTGTGGGCGATATCGATGTCGTTAATAGTAATGTTAGCGCCCATGTGATTGAACAGATTAACGCAAAGATTACTGGTTTCGGAGGCGTCTTCATTAGCTTTTAGCTCAGGGACTCCGAGAATTTTTATGTTGAAGGCGTAGCTATAATCTTGTATCTCGTTCACGGCAATCTCCAGCTTCCCGAGGTTTTCCTCGATGTCGTCAATCCTCGATGTGAAATTATAAGTGCCTAAATTGACTTTCTTGAACGCTTTAAGCAGAGCTTCAAAAAGTATGTCCGACCGTTACGCACACATGCGCAACTCCTGATACAAGCTTATAGTAGAATATATCTGGTCACGAATCATCAGGATGAGAATCGTAGAGTCTCGAGATTCTTGGCCCATAACAAACGTGACGCCATTCAAAGGTTTCGATTTGTCTTAGAAAATTTACTGGCCGTTGCTTAGGTTTTTTTTTCTTAGTTGCTCGTTGTAAATTTTGCTTCGGGTTTTTCTTTCGCCCTTGCCTTTTTCCTTGCTTCTTGTAGATTTCGCTTAGGTTTTTTTTTCTTTCCCCTTGCCTTTTTCCTTGCTGTTTGTAAATTTTGCTTAGGTTTTTTCGCCCTTGCTTTTTGTAATAAACTTCTTGTAATAATAAACATCTTTGGCAATAATAAAGTTTTTGTAATAAACCTGTTGAAAGTTTATTTTTTGTGTGAGAATTAATTGTTCATGTGCTTAAATGGAAAAAAAACTCTCATATGGATTAGAACAAATTTTTTTACTGCGCTTTAAGGTTTTTTATTGCCCTTTAGGGTTGAAAAATTCTCTCACGACTAAAATTTTCCTTCAATTGAAAAACGTACGGTTTTTAACGAATAAGATCTTTTAAATCATACTTACATTTTCAGCACATGCGCCTTGTCTGAAAAAGACTCCCACATGGATGACAAAATCCCTCTTAGACATACCGTATTTTCTCACTTATGAGGCACACTCGGTTACAAGACGCGCCCTGAATTTTTGAACGTTTCATTCAAGTTGTTAAACCGAAAATTTCGCCTAAATACCCGGTTATAAGGCGCAACCTCAACCTTGGGCTTTTTCACTATCTTCACTTAGAAAACAATAGCGTTTTCAAAGTTCCTAGAAGATCAATGTTAACATGCAACACGTGTACGTAAAATACCTTGTCCTTTAACACTGTACTGTTCTATTTTTTGCAGGTCTTTCAGTCAATAGCGGAATGCTCCGGTTAAGGGCGAAGGAATTCAGCTCCAATCCGGAGCTCAAGGCATCTATAGGGTGGTACAACAACTATAAACGTCGCCACACTGTATTTATGAGAGCAAAAACAACTTTGGCGCAGCGTCTACCAGCAGACATGGAGGAGAAGATCGTCGAATTCCATCGGTTTTTTCTTAGACATGGATAAAACTCCCACGCGATTTGAGCTGCCAGCCACAAGAACCCCCGAATTCACGGGCAACCGAACAGTGCCGATCTTGTCGTGAGGTGGAGACAAGCAGAGTTTCACAGTTGTCCTTGCAGTTAAAGCCAATGGAGAAAAACTACCGCCGAAAGTTATTTTCAAAGGCGTTCGTCAGCATATATAATCAACCACATAATTGCATATAATTGTCTTCAAGTCAGTCCCTGGGGAATCGAAAACAATATATCTATTGTTCCATTGTTCTACTTTGTAATTTGCCGACAACCTGCAACAATTTGAACCATTTCGCTCAAATAATTCAAGCGGTTTAAAAGTCAAACTAAGGTCAACTAAGAAAAATTGCACAATCTATCTCAGTTGCACAGAGTGCATAATATTTGTTAATTGGTTGAAGTAGTTCAAGCGGTCAAACTAGCTGATATGGCTCAACCAGATAAAAAGCATAACTATCGTAATCGGTTCAACTGCACAAACTGCACAATCTAGCTTCAATGGCTCAACTCTCAAGTAGCTAAGATGGTAATACAGCTTAGGGTTAGGATTTCATCGCATTAAAAGCATAACCAGCTTAAATAGCTTAAGTGGCAGAATAGTCAAACTAAAAAATTGCAAACGGCGGAAACAGTCAGACGGCACAAAACTCAGAAAATAGCTGAGTTGGTTTAATTGGCTCATATGGACCAAATCCATCAACAACCTAAATTGGGTCAAATGGTTTAAGCAATCGAACAAGCAAAAACAGTGATACGCAAAAAAAACTGGACGAACTGAATTGTTTGCCACCGAATTACGCTTTTCTTAGTTGTGTCACATCAAATGTGTTTTTTGCCTGTTTGCGGCTAATCACGCTGATTTTAGCTGTATCTCACTAAATACAACTTTTTGGTGACTTTTGTGGCCAAGTTTTGCTTTTTTCAGCTTTTTGGCACCGAAAACATGTATTTGTTTGCAGCTAATTGGGCTGTTCTGGGCTTGATCTCATGGAAAGCACCGTTTTTCTTTTTTTTATTGCTAAGCTACGCTGTTTTTAGCTTTATGACACTGAAAATATGTTTTTGTTTGTTTGGCGCTAAATTAACGCTGTTTACAGCTCGATCCTACTAAAGACTGAGTCTTAAGCTCCCATGCGACTAAATTACGTCTTTTTCACATTTATCTCACCAAAAACATTTTCCGCTTGTTTGCCGCTGAATTGAGTTGTTTTTAGCTTTATCACAGCCAAAAAGGATTTCTGCCTGTTTTCAGCTAATCACCCTAGTGTAAGCTAAACAACGGTTTTTCCTTTTTCGCAGCTAAATCAAGAGGTTTTTTAGCCTTCTAGAACTGAAAACGTGTTTTTTTGTTTCTTTGCTCTTGAGTTACGCTGTTTTAGCTTAAGTGCACTGAAAAGAGGTTGTGGTATCTTGCTAGCCAATCACGCCGTTTTTACATTTATCTCAATGTTAACAACGGTTTTGCTTTTTTGTGGCTAAATTACGCTGTTTTGAGATTTTTTTACACTGGGAAAAGCTCATGTGCCCGTTTGAGCAAACCAGAGAAAAAAAACCTTTTCGGTGCGATAACGCTTACAAAAGCGTAATTTAGCAAGAAAAGAGCAAAACCGTCGTTTTCACTGAGATATAGCGACAATCAGCATGACTAGCTGCAAACAAGCAGAAAACTTTTTCCGGTGTGATAACGCTAAAAAACAGCTTAATTCAGCGGCAAACAAGTGCAACAATGTTTTAAGCGCGATAAAGCTTAAAATGGCCTAATTTAGTTGCAAACAAACGAGGACATGTTTCTGGTGATATGGAGCTGAAAACAGGATAATTTAGCAAGACCAAAGTAAAAACGTTTGAGTAAGATATAGCTACAATCAACGTGATTAGCTGCAACAGGCAGAAAACATTTTCCCGGTGCAAAAAAAAGCCATAAACAGCGACAAAAGAGCAAAAACGTCGTTTTTAATGAAATAAAACTAGAATCAGCGTGATTCGCTGCAAACAGGCAGATAAGCTTTTACCAGTGTAAAAAAGCCACAAAAAAACAAAACCATTGTTTGCACTTAGATAAAGCTAAATACAGTGTGATTGGCTAGCAAGATGCAAGAACCTCTTTTTAGTGCACTTAATCTGAAGACAGTGTAACTCAAGAGCAAACTAACAAAAAACACCTTTTCCGTTCTAGAAAGCTAAAAACAGCTTGATTTAGCAGTGAAAAATAAAAAACCGTGGATGGGCTAGATATTGGGGTGATTGGCTGAAAACAGGCTTTGTCACAGCCTTTTTTGGCTGTGATAAAGCTAGAAACAGCTCAATTCAGCGGCAAACAAGCGGAAAAACTTTTTCAGTGAGATAAATCTAAGAGATATAATTTAGCTGCGTAGAAGCTTAAAACTTAGTCTTCAGTGAGATAAACCGAAAACAGCGTAAATTTAGCGACAAACAAAGGGAAACGTCTTTTTGGTGTCGTAAATCATGGTAATAGGACCGAGTGGAATCCAATTAGGTCTGTAATCATAGGAGTGATTTACAAAATCGGACGACCGCAAAGAGGGAGTCCGATTTGTTTATCACGAGTATGATTACAGACAGAACTGGACGACAAGAAATCCTGTTACCAATTAATCATAACCATTTCAATTTTCCAAAAAAACAAATACACCTACAACAAATATCTTCAGTGGAGACAATGTCTTTAGTTAAAAATTCCTCCATTTGAAATTGCCTAGTTTTTCTTTAGTTATTGTTATTTTCTTTGGTTAATTCGGGGATTGGTGGATTTAGCTGAGTGGACCTAGTATGATTGGCTGCCTAAACTGTCTGATTACAGGTGTCCGATTACAGCCAACTCTTTGATTACGCTGTCCAATTACAACTGCACAGAATGATTAGTAAAAAATTAAGTTGCGAAGGCACCAATAAGAATTGAAGAATTAGTAATGGTTATGATTAAGTTAAAAACAGCATAGTTTAGCGACAAAAAAGGGGAAAGCGTTACTTTTCGTGAGATAAAGCCCAGAACAGCCCAATTTAGCTGCAAACAAACAAATACATGTTGTCAGGGCGAAAAAGCTGAGAAAAGCGTGGTTTGGCCAAATAAATCATTAAAGTGTTATATTTAGTGAAATAAAGCTAAAATCAGCATGGTTAGTGGCAAACAGGCAAAAAAAATTGTTTGATGCGACACAGCTAAAAAGAGCGTAATTCAGTAGCAAACAAGTCAATTCAGCTAGTTTGTTCAGTTTTTTTTCCTTTCACTGTTTTCGCCTGTTTGATCACTTAAACCATTTGAACCAATTTAGCTTGTTGGTGAATTTTGTCCATGTGAGCCGATTGAACCAACTCAGTTACTTTCTGCATTTTGTGTCATTTGACTGTTTCCGCCGTTTGCAATTTTTTCAGTTTAACTGTTTCCCTGCTAGTTTGACTATTTAGCCACTTAAGTTATTTAAGCTGGTTATGCTTTTTGTTCGATAAAACCCTTACTCTAAGCTAAGTTTGACCATCACAGCTACTTGACAGTTGAACCATTGGGGCTAGATTGTGCAGTTTGTACAGTTGATGCTATCAAGCTATTTATGTATTTTCTCCAGTTAAAGCATCTAAGATAGTTTGACCATGTCAACTACTTCCAACAACAATATAGATTGTGCAATTTGTACAGTTCAATTGAAATTGAGCTGGTTGAGCCATTTAAACTACTTAGGTGTTTTGTCTAGTTTAACCATTTCAGCTAGCTCTGAATTTTGTCCACTCGAATAATTTCAGCTTGATTGACCATTTGAACTATTCTA